AAAAAAAAAAAAAAGAGGCATTGATGCCCATCTCTATCCCTGCAGGTAGCCATTCCTTCGAACAAGTAGGCTTTCACCATTGAGAGGGAAGCATTTGCCAAAGGACAAAGTTCCGAAGGCTGGCAGGGGTTTGAAAGGAGGAGGAACGGAGAGAGGAAGCATAACATAGAAATGGACTGAGTGATGTTACCTTGTGGGGATTGCAATCAATAACCACAAAATGAAGATGAATTATTGAATGCAGCACTTTCACCCAATTTACAATGCTTTTTTTTTTTTTTAAAGCTTAAGCGCTAAGGGAAAAAAAAATGTCCCAAAGATCCAAACTATGACGTTGAGGCAGAGATTTGATGCACTGAATACCATCAATGACCAAAGATCAGATGAATTGTGGAAGGACATCAAGGAAGAAAGCTAAAGGTCACTAGAAAGACAAGAAAGAAAGGAAAAATTAAAATGTAATGTCAGAGGAGACAGAACTTTGTTCTTGGTTGATTTGAGGATATTTAAATAGAAATTTATTTACATCATGCACATAATTTACTTACATCAATTAGACTTTTGAATTTCTTTATCGGTAGGAAAAATAATCAAATATTCATGGTCAGCACTAGCAGTTTACAAAATAAAATCTCAAAATCCACTGCCATCAAATCAGTTCTGACTTGGTGTAGGTGTTAAAGGCATGGGAATGATTTGGGATTTTAAAAAGCCACTTTTCTAAGGGAGAAAATTTAGGTGTTCTATTAATGCATTTGTTTTTCATCGACGCATTTTTTTCATTAAACACATGGACCTGTCTCCTGGGTTCCCAGCTCTCTACAAAAGTGAAGCTGATGACCCTGCTATCATTTAAAGGATTCCTTCTCATCAAGGTGATTTTTAACATTCCCTAGGAAAATAAGGCAGATATTTCTATATAGGTGCTACTATGCTGTCTTCAGTGTTTTCTTGAATCACAGTGGAATGGAGTGTGTTTCTGTCTAAGGCAGGGGTTGGCAAACTGTGCACAGCAATGTGCGGCTCTTTGGGTACAGATATGTGGCTCTGAAGTCAAATTGAAAATGAAAATAAAACTATCACAGTTTCATTCATAAAATTGTTAAAGGTTAAAAAGACAAACAAAAAATAAAATAAAATAGATAAAGGTTATTATTCCCATAAGGGTGATTTCGATTGTAAAATATATTTATGGCTTTCAAATCATTTTTAAAATTTGGTGTGGAACAGGATTGGCTCTTCTGTCTCAAAATTTGCCAACCCCTGGTCTAAGGGAATGACCAGAAAAGTAGGGAGTACTGTAATATCATTTTCGCACTTAATCTGAAGCTCTCTGAGGCAGGAAGCGGGAGAAAATTCCATCTTATAGAATAGAATGAGTATGTCAGAGCTTACAATGTGCCTTTTGTTCTTACTGCTTTTGGAAACTTGTTATTTAGGTCACCAATTATTTCTTTGTTGGCAGACTTACTGTTTGTTTTTTTTCCTTACCTCACTGTTGCATTTAACTCTTTGCAAGACTCTTTTTTTCCCCAGCCAGTTAAGAAACATTTATTAAAGGCAGAATTGAAAGGGAGAGGGGCCTGCAGAGGGAGCAAAGGATGAACACAGAGTCAGAGAGCGCGGCGACAAGCAGATGGCACAGCTGACTCTCTTCGTTCATGTCACAGTGCCACTCGCTTCTCTGCTGCCCTCAGCTCACCCAGTGCCCCTCTAGGACAGGGTAGAACGATGTTTCCAGGATGCTACTGTGTTACGGAGCTAGAAAGCCCTGTCTTCTCCTGCAGAGCTGGCTGGTGGTTTCTGGGACCTTGCGGATTGCAGCCCCAGTAGTAAGCACTAGCCACCCGGGCTCCTTGTAAGGACTTTACCCACACCTCCCTTCTTTTCTTATTTGGATTTTCGCACCCAGATCATTTTGTGGTTACAATGACCAAGTTGGTGTTAGTGACTCTTTTTTATAAAATTTACCCTTCTCCTTTCATTTGAACTCAAGTTCTACATGACTGAGACATTTTCAAGTATATGAAAAGTTGCCAGTTTAGAAAAATTGGGAATGTTGAAAATCAAAAAGAAAGTATTTCAAGTACAGCCACTTTTAAATATGAGAGTATAATTTGCTTTTGGTGTTCTCTGTAATCTGCTGGCAGTGTTTATATTTCTGGTATATGTTGGTTAAAATGGGGGGGGGGACTGTTGGGGGCAATAGGATGTCTTCAAATCATTCTTTACCAAAATCTAATCGCCAGACAAACTGTTTCTGAGACTTTCGGAATACAATAGCATTTGGGATTAACTCCTAGCATCTCAGATCCTCAGTGAAGAGAACCTTTGATTTTCATACTGAGAACATCCCAGAGGGAGACCCTCCCATGCAAGTTTCATATGTAATGCCCAGGCTTTCCTACGATTTTTACATAATGTTTAACATTTGCACTAATGTTCATCTCTAGTCATTCTCACTTTACTTTTCAGTTATTAAAAAACTATTATAAATGGAGGGAAGAATGTCCAGAAATAAGTGCAGACCTGCACCCAAGAAGTATCCTTGGCCTTCTGAAAGCAGGCTACGTTGGAGTCCTGAGATCCAGGGATCCCACTGGCAGCAAGGTTCTTGTCTACAGAATCGGTAAGTAATACACAGCACTATTTTCTTTCTTTTACTTGACTAATATACAGGGAAAATAAAACCACTACCAACAAGTGTCAATGATCCCATTTTCATTATGTGAATACTATTATTTTAAAAATATACAAGTAGTTTCCAACTTGACATATTAGAACTATGATGAACCATATGTAAAACCATCTTATTCTTTCTTCCCCCCCCCTATCTTATCATTGGTAATGTATCTTATATCCAGTGCTACCAGCTCTAATTGGATGAAATTATCGTTCTTGAATATTCACTTGCAGATGGTCAAATTTGTGATTTGTTGTTCCAAATATTGCTGTATATCTAGCATGCCATGCCTTGGGCCCTGATGAAATTGGTGTTGGGAGCCCAAGCAGACAGAATGTTTGGCAATGTTCAACTTGAACCACAGACAGCAATTGAACTGTTCGCTCGTGCAACAGCTGTTACAATTCTGACGTCCTTGTTTAGACAGTCATGCCAAGTTCACTGTCGGCCAGCTCTACAGTGTGCCCTTCTTCAGGACATCGACCCCTCAGAAGCATCAAGGGTTAGTTAAAAGCTGACTCACTCGGGTTCCTCTACCACTGCACTCCTTCTGTCTTCAGTGATACGCTTAGCAACAGAAGTTATGCCACTGAAGTGCAAATCCAAAAAGGGAGGTGAGGAAGGCTCCACATCTGGATATAAATGATAAAAATGTAAAGATCATTAAGGACTATAGTCATAGGAGAAAAGTTGGTGAAATAGCACAGGAAAACACTGTTCACTTGAACCATTTCAATCATTATTAAGGATAAGGATAGGACTTAGGAGGCAGTTACAGGCGTTATGGGCATAAAATCACCACTTTAAGCTAGGGACACAGGCATGGGCCGATCCCTGAGATGGAAAAGCTCTTGATTTGGATAGAAAACAAAATTTGGTAGAATTTTCTGACAATTCAAATGAAAGTGGGCAGATTTCCTGAACCCTGAAGGAACAGCAGGGAGAAAACTGCTAATACTTTGATGCCGACAAGATCCCCTTTCATCGCTTCGAATGCACGTTTGACTAAGGTAACGTATAACACTGGACAGAACTATCAAAGAAGAGAAACGAGAGAAGCTGTCAACACTTTTACAGTCAAAGAAGTAGTTGCTGTTTTCTCAAAACTAGATCAGGGCTTTCATGGAAACATGGACCTGTATAGATGCTGCCTGCCATGTGGACGCAGTGAGCTGTTACTGAAAAGTACAAGCAAAGGGATCAAAAGAGAAGCGCTTCCTATTCTGCCTAGAGATGGGATAATCTCCTGGATAATTATACCAGATGACCCCAAACCTTCCACAAGTGGAGACTGCTGTAACTGATGAAATGCCACATTGCCCAACCCTTCACAGAGTGAATCTTTACTTTATGGATGTATAAAAATGTCTTTAAGTATATATGCAAATGTTCCAAACCCCAAATAAAAATTGGATTTATAAAAATACTGAAAATAAAGGTAATAACAAAACTAAAAAAGGGGGGCATTTGACTTAAGTCAGAGCCACTTTATAATAGCATCATCAGAGGGAATCCCACTGGAATTGTCTATCTGTAGGTAGCACACATTTCAATTCTACTTTTTTTCTCATGGTCAATTTAGAGCTATTAATTACATTAATCATGTTGTGAAATAATTACCTTTCATCATGTCATAATTTCCCATCAACATAAACAGAAACAGTGCTTTGTAATCAATAACTACCCTTTCTCCACCCCTTCTAGCCCCTGTGTACATTTGCTTATTCTTGGTAGGCCATGTAAACAAAATGACGTGATATTTGTTCCCTAATGATTGACATCTCATTCAGCATACTGTTTTCAAAGTTCTTTAAGAATTTAGATTTTGATCCATTTCCCCAAATACTCAAAAAACAAAACGTCTAGATTTTAGCAAGCAAGGTTTTGTTATCTGCATATCACAGGTTGTTAACGAGTCTTCCTCCCATCCTGATGCCATTTTCTTCTTCAAATAGTCCAGCTTCTCAGATTATTTGCTCAACATACAGATTGAATAAGCATAGTGAAAAAGATAGGACTGGATGACTGCCTCTCGGTCTATGTACAGCTTCCACATGAGGACAACTACGTGTTCTGGAATGCCTGCTTTTTGCAGTGATATGCATAGATAGATACGTTATAATCCACATAGTGGAATCCTTTTGCATAGGCAGTACAGCACAGGTAAACATCTTTCTGGTATTCTCTGCTCTCATCTAACACCAGCAACGATATCCCTCATTTGATGCCCTCTGCTGACTCCAGCCTGAATTCTGGCATTTCCTTGTTATTGTATTGCTGCAACTATATGAATTATCTTCAGCAAAAAAAATTAAAAATTAGAAAAAGTGTCCCTTAACCTCACAGACTATTGTGTGATATTAAATCAGGAAAGGTGTGTATCTGGGTTGTATCCTTTCATCATCCTTAGTCATTCTGTGTGCTGAACATAGAACCTGAGAAACTGGACTCTAAAGAAAATAGGGGATCAGGATTGGAGGAAGACTCATTAACAACTTATGATATGCAGATGGCACAACCTTACCTGCTGAAAGCAAGGACGATTGGAAGCATTTACTGATGGAGATCAACGACTGCTACTGCCTTCAATATGGATTACACTTCAGCATAAAGAAAATACAAATCCTTCCAACTAGAACACAATTCAGCATCATGATAAAGGGAGAAAATAGTGAAGTTGTAAAGCATTTCATTTACTTTGATTCACAACCAAAGTCTCTGAAAGCAGCAGTCAAGCAACAGAGAAGGGGGGGCGGGGAATCAAATAACATTGGACAAATCTACTGCAAAAGATCTATTTAAGGTGTTTTTAAAAAGCAAACAAAAACCCGGTCATTTTGAGGACTATGTGGAATCTGGTGGCATATTCCTTCCTCGCGGGGCCGTGTGATCTACAAAGCTGACAGCTGGGAACCAGCAGCAGCTCATAGCAGAAGGCGGGCCTTCTTCCCCTGTGAACAGTTCCATTCTCAGAAACTCCAAGGGGTAATTCTGCCCTGTCCCAGAGAGTTGCTATGGGTCGGAACCAACTCGATGGTAGTGAGTTTGGTGTTTTGGTTCTGAGGCCTAAAGTGTGTCTGACGCAAGCCATGTTATTTTCATTTGCTTCATATACTCGAATAAAGAAGATTGAAGAATTGATACTATGAATTATGGTGTTGGTGAAGAACATTGAAATTATCCTGGACTACTAGAAGAACAAACAATTCTGTCTTGGAAGAAGCACAGCCAGAATGCTTCTTGGGAGGGAAGATGGTGAGACTTTTTCTCACATATGTCGGAGATTTTATCAGGAAGGACCAGTGAAAAAGAGGAAGATCCTCAGTGGGATGAATCACTCAGGGGTCTCAAACATGCAATGATGTTGAAATGGCACAGGACCAGGCAATGCTTTGTCTCATTTTATATAGGAATCCTGAGTCAGAATTCACTCAAGGTACCCATCGACATTACCTCTGACTGTGACTTAGCGCTCATAAATACAGACTCTGTGGCCCAACTGCCGGGCTTTGAAGTCCAGCGCTATCCCATTTGACATGTGTATAAAATGATGGAGCTGTGTCTCCACTTCTCCTTCTGTAAAATAAGGATCGTAAACGTGTATCTCATAGTTGCTGTGAGCATTAAAACTAGTTATACAATATTCGAACATTACCTGGTGCAGAATAAAAACCAGCCTTCCTAGATTTTGGTGGCTATTATCTTTATGGCAGCAGATCCTGAAGTCTTTCTGGGCATCCCTGAGAAAATTCAAACTGTCAGCCTTACAAGCTGAGCAAAAACAGTCGATTCCTGCCAGGAACCCACACCCCTTGCTGTGAATTCAATTCCAACTCATGGTGATCCCCTGTGTTACAGAGTTGAACTGCTCCACAGGGTTTTCTTTTCTTTCTTTTTTTTTTTT